CCTGCTGATGGCAGGGGGATTGGAACTAGATGATCTTTAAGGTCGCTTCCAACCCAAACCATTCTATGATTCTACGAATCTTAGCAGCTGAGACACCTTTAGAAATTTGGCTACAGGATCTGATACTGAAACATGCATAAAAGGCAGATGGAAAGCAAAATTTTAAGACTCAGAAGTGGTGGATGCCACCTCAAATAGACCAAAATAATGCAAGAAAATCCTTCTTAGTGAAGAGTAGTGTGACTGCTGGTATGTTTCCGTTTGTCCTAGATCTGTGAGCAGCAGTGTATCAGGTGTAGATCTGTAAACTGTAGTCAATTCTGGAGCACGCTTGCTTAAAGATTTGAATAAATTCCTATTTTTTATTTCATAGAAGCATATTTCTTACCCACTTGCAGTTTCCCAGGTTTACATTTTCAGTCAGAGAAGAGGCTCTCAGAGAATAGGAAAGCTCCTCAAATAGTTTCTGTGATCAGAAAATTAGCCATACTTTTGAAGTATAGAAGGTTACCTTTTTCTACACTAAAAGATGGAAAACTAAAAAGTTGTATATATCTATAACTGTAAGATTGGTAGGATGTGCTGCTGAAGAATTTACATGCCTATTTTTCCTTTTAAAGGAAAATATAGTGAAGAAATCTTCATCTGGTTTCATACTGGAACATGTATAGTCTCACATATATCCACTGAGTCATATATATATATATATATATACACACACACACACGCTCTTCTGGTCATGCATATGGACGAGTTTTTGTTCATGAGCTTCTCACTTGCAAAATCTTTTTTGGGTGGAGAACATCTCTACCTTCCTCATTTGCAAACTGCTTTGTATTTGTTTCCTCTCATGGAAGATTGTGTTTTCTATAAACTTTTTGCAACTTTCTGTATAAGTTTTGTATTGTAAATTAATCCTCTTTTCTCTTAACATAGACCGTGTTGGATAAATTCATATGCCAGCCACTCATTGGCAAAATAGTGCCAAAGCCACACATTCATTTTATACCATATGTCCTTTGCCAGGCCAGGCTCTGTACCTTGGTTCCATTTGTAGATATCCCTGTCACAAATGCGAGATGTGCTCATGAAGGCTGCAGACAGCTTATCTAAGAGGCAGCCAGACCTTAGTACTCAGTTACGACTTGCAGCAGGAGAATCATGCCCACTCCTATTTCTGAGTCACAGCTTGCCCCTGAGAATAACATTTGTGAGTGGGTCCCTAAAATACACCTTTCCTTTGGCGAAGGGTCCAGTTTTCCTCATGTAAGAGACTGGCAAACTATTTCAAGAAAACAACACAGAGCTTTGAAGACTTCCCCCTTAGCAGTCTCAGCAAGGAAGCAGCTGCCTGTCCCTGATTCAGTCTTCGCACTCTCACAAGGCTATTTCCTTTTCAGCTATATGTTCAGCCTTTTTTCTTGATGCTTTTTCAGTCTTCTTCAGATGTTCCAGCTAAATACCATTCCCTGTCCTTTCCAAGAGCTCTGCTATAAGCTCCAGCCATTCCCTAAACTCTTTTAAAGCTGCTTCTGGACTCAGGGGACAATATAACTAGATTATGTCAGAAGTCATGCAGGAACTGATTCCTTCTTCATGTGTTGGGATAAAACAAGTTCTTTATATCTCTGCCTTGTATCACAATACAGATTGGTTGCAGTCCTTATGAGACTAGAACCAGCAAGAATCTTGCCATTCTTGTGAATAAAAAAACCCAAAACTCCACAGGTTGGATTACATCTGTGTTCTTCCTTAAAAGATTAGTATGTCCTGTTAGAAGTACAGAAAATTGAGCTTTTTGTTTGCTCATAAATGTTGAACAATATGACCCAAAGTACATTTCCTTTTCATAGGGTTGGGTTTAGGCTGGTTATTCCACAACTATTTAATTTACAGAAATGGATAAGTATCCTGAGTCTAATCCTGTTAGGGTGCACACCAGAAGTCAAAGTTAAGAGTATGGCACAACTGTATTGGAAAGAGGACACTTCCCAAATATGATAGGTTAATCTATTTTCCTCACTGTTCAGGTGACTGTGATTGGATACACTCTTGGGATACCGGATGTAATCATGGGCATTACTTTCCTAGCTGCAGGAACAAGCGTCCCAGACTGCATGGCCAGCTTAATAGTAGCAAGACAAGGTACTGTATCTGCTGAAGCATAACTGCAATCTTATGTACATGCTCTGTGATTTGCTTCCTCCGTACACACAAATTCTCAATGCATTTTTACTATTTTTTATTTATTTTTACTATTTCAGGGCCTCGTTAAAAGCCCAAATACTTTGCTAATTATTGTGAACCAAAAAGAAAATAATCACTGTCCTGTTATCTTTTGTTTATTGGGACTGCACACCCTAGGACTGTAGAAGGTCATTCACACTAAGATATCCCATACATGGTATGTATCAGTCAGGGTGAAAAGATAAAAGTAATAGACAAAACTAGAATATCAGCTATTAAAAATACATCAAAGAATATATGCTGACTGGCACTTGTCCATGTGACACTTGTACTGATTTCTAGAAGACCTCTCAAACCCAGGGAAGCAAAGTGGTTTAAGAGGATCTGGCAGAAGTTGCTTCAGGCATACTTCTCATCCAAATGCAGACCTCTTTTCTGCTGGGACATACAAATAGCTGCACTGGAAAGGATGTTAGATAAATGTCAGCTGCGTCCTCATCAGCTTTCCAATTGAAAATGTCAAGGGCTTTCTCATGTATCTTTAAGTCTTGATTAAGGTTCTTTGCATTTCTTTTATTACTTGAGAAATACCTGTAGCCACTTTCCTTCCTGTTGTTGAAAAACATTAAACCTGAGAATGTGGTCTCCTCTTCTGCAATAGAATAAGAAAAGATCCTAATTGTATTCTTTTCCACTATTCAAATTCCCATAGTCTTTTTTTTCCAGATAATGAGATCTCCAGCACACATAATTGTGCAAACAACAAGGGTTTTGAAGTGATAAATTAAGTACTCAACAGCCCCACCTTTGTAGTTTGAGATGGGAGTAGTGCTGTTAAATATTGTTTGATTGAAAAGAATTATATATTTTAAACATTTAATTTTCCAGGTTGTATTATTTCTTGTGTTCAGCAAAATCTCACAAAAAGCAACATAAAAAAGTATTTGGGATTCTTGTGAAACCACCTTCCTACTAAATTAGTTTTCCATACATAGTATTTAAGTGAACCGATTTTTGCAAGAGCAGAAGGAAAATATGTTACATTTTTAAATGAACAGACTACTTCTTTAGATTAGTTCTTCTTTAGTATTAGGCAAAACTTCTGTGGGGATTGTTTCTCTGAAAGTGAAGGTAAGCACTAGCTTGGCAAAAAGCAGCCCCATTCTCTCATAGACAATACAGGGACTTTGCACTTCTCGGATTTAAGAGAAATGTTAACTGACAGATTGCAGTCAAGTATCTAAAAAGTAGAGATGGACACTACCATCATATGGATCCAAAGTGTAACTTGCTCTCAGCAGCTTCCTGCAAGAAGAATACTGTACTTGTGGTGTGGTAGTGTCTGTCTCCGCTCTGTGTACTCTCAAAGTATTTGTGGGGGATGTCTCATTGACGTTACAGTTCCTCTTCCTTTCTGGTATTCACTTTGTGAGAGTGATTCACTAGTTAGGCTAGTGCCTAAGAGAAATTGGCAGGGGCAGAGAAGACTTCTGCCTTCCTCACATCCATTGACACTGGTGCAGAATGAGATGCCAGGAGTGATGTGCATTAGGAGTAGATTTTGAGTAATGCATAGGGACTTCACCATCATTCACTCTTTATTTTCCTTTCCTGTAGCATTTTATTGTTCCCAAAGTGAAATTGTTGCTGATTAAGCCCCACAGAATTGCTTAATTTTGACTACCATCTGGCTGGATTCTTTTCAGGATCACTTTTCTTCACGTGAGATAAAGGCCACATGTCCACATACTAAATCCAGTGTGTAATCTCCAGGTTCCCTGTTGCTGCAGACTACCTAGAACAAGATTTGTTTTTTCAGTTGGCATTGAACTCAGATGCTGAATGGGTACCACCCAGTAAAGGTTCTCCAAGTCACAAGGAAGAAGTAGTTGGAGTGAGCAATTTTTGCACACTTTTTTCAGAAGTTGTGCAAAGATTATGGAAATTGTCTCCCTACCTCAGATATTGTGGCCAGTCCAGGGGGGCTTGGATCAATGCAGATCATTTCCCTTTAGTTTCCTGTAGTACAGAGTAATGGTCCTATACTTCATTTTTACCCAAGAGGTTGTTTTTTTTTTTTCTCTGCAGGTCTCGGAGACATGGCAGTATCCAACACAATAGGGAGCAATGTCTTTGACATTCTGGTGGGCCTTGGTGTTCCATGGGGTTTGCAGACCATGGCAATTGATTGTGGATCAACTGTATGTATACTTGTCAAATCTTTAATGCGTTGGTTTTGTCTGTTTAAAAAAAAAATCCTAAAAAGAAAGCATGCAAATAAATTTAAAAAACCCCCAAAACCACCAACCTGCTGAGCATGATATTGGTTGCTAAATAAGGTGTTCTTTCTTTGTCAGGGTACCAGGAGTTAAGCAGCAATTCTCCTTCCACAAGCTGAAATTAGTTCCCAGTTTGTCAAGTGGAGTACATTATACTGTATAGCAGAAAAATAGTGCCATGCATACCTCTTCATGGCTCTGTCATTTTCTCACTACACAGCTTCAAGCAGACATGTCTGTCTTACTGTACCATAGTATTTTTGTCTGTGAGATGAGAATAACAGCATATTTCTCTCTCCTGATGATCTTTTAACATAAAATCTATTATAAATGCTGATTTATTTTTTTTTTTTTAGGGGAGGTGGGATTACTTACACATTTCTTTTGATTCCTTAATCTTCCTATTCTTCATGGATCTGTCATGGATTTGCATAGTTTAAGTCAGTCACTATTCAAAATAGAAGATGGACCATAAATAGTAAAGAGCACAGTTTTTATACGCTGAGCATTTTAAAGGTCTCTTCTCTGTCTGATTCCCACAGGTTAAGATAAACAGCAAAGGACTGGTCTATTCAGTTGCACTTTTGCTAGGATCAGTAGCACTTACTGTAAGTATTTGAGTAGCTCAAGTATTCCAATTGCAAAATACTTATTAGGTTTTTACATGTTATATAAGGACAAAATGGAAATTCTTATTATCCCTGAAGCATTGATTCTTGCAAAGTATCATTTTTCTAGCAATACTATGGGTTGAAGTACTACCATTGTCCTCAGTGAGGACTGAAATCTGACATATGGTGCAAGAGATGCTGGATACATGTAGGTCCTCTTGGTTTCAGTGGCAGTGTTGAAATTGTGGGATCCAGTAATACTTCTGTGCTGCTGTGTCCAGCTGCATATCCCAGGATGTCTCTATTTTATGCTGGGACAAGATCCAGCTGTGCTTCATCATCCTTTGCCCTTGTCTCTGATTTCCAAAACCAGCCTGGACTAACCAAGGGCTGTAGACAAAACCCTTAATGAAGACTAGTCTGTGAGGACTGTGAACTTCAGGACTTTGAATAGGTATGCTAAATGTTACTCAAGCATAAGACACTTACCCTTGTAACACGTGACTTGTTAAGGTGAAACAATAATTCTGTCTCAAAAGTCAATTTTGCTGGTACTTAAGGTCTGATCCTGCTGACTCCCAGGGAACCCTCTGTGAGAAGAATAAAATCCCAAAGGTATAAAAATACCCACTTGTGCTAATGCCTTTCACTGATTGCCTGTGGAGGCTCCGCAGAGGAGGGGATCATCACGGGAGATTTCACACTGTTGCATGACTAGGTCTTGCAAAACTCCACATCACCTGTGCACGACTTAAGTGATAGAATGACCAGGGCTCTTCACTCTGCCACTAACTTCCTAATGCATCTGATATATAAGCTGTGGGGGCCTGTTTTCTTTTCTTATTCCTAGTTCTGCTCTAATGCACAGTGCCTGTGAAACAACAAAGATGTTCTGTAGACATTTATATCTGATGTTGCTGCATGCATATTGGTAATCAGCACTTTGGAATAAAATGGGAGGATTATGCAGATGTGTCGCTATGCTAGCTGTTCGTGCTTTTCTGCAAAAAGTCTTTTCATAGCAGAAGCCATATCACTTGACTTCGAAGCTTCTATTATTATCTCATTTGTTCTGCTGGATACCCTGATTTGCACAGACCCTCCCAGGAAAACTCACAGGAGGGTTTTGAGCAAAACAAATAATAATTCAGAGGCACTCAACACCACTGAAAATAGATGCCTTTGTAAGGACTTTGTTGCTTTGCTACCTTTAACTTGTAACTCCCCTTAGTTCTGAAGCTGACAAAAACATCAAAGCAAGCATGTCTTCTGAAGCTGTTGAAAGAGTGCACATTAGGTGCTGGTGTACTACTGGGACATAAAGAATCTGTAGGGGAACGCTGGAGGGAGAGGCTTTCATGTAGTTTAGTGCATTCCTTTAGTTCAAACTGAGTCAATGAGTGAGTGCTGCCTGACTAGAACGGGCCCCATGTACTGAAAATCCATCACAGACTGAAACTGAGAACCTGAGGGCCTGTTTCTCAGTTACATTAAGAACTTGCAAAGTTCTTGTGACGGGGCATTAAAGTGGGTTTATTTAATATTTTGTAAAAGGATCTTAGAGCAACTGAGAGGCAGGCCAGAGTTTGAGTTCTTAGTTTGGGCTTTTACATTCCTTTTCTTGATCAGAAAAACATATGTTGCCTTTTTGATCTATAAAATACTGAGAATAGATTTTTATCTTCGTTCAGGATCTCTAATTCAAAAGGCTGTCATTTTTAGCTTATAATGGTTGTTTCCAAAAGTCTCCTTTGGGGCTTAATTAACTAACACTTTGTTTGCTTGCAGGTGTTTGGAATCCATGTAAATAAGTGGAAACTTGACAGGAAATTAGGCATCTACGTGTTGTTTCTTTATGGTGTTTTCCTGTGTTTCTCTATATTGATAGAGTTTAACGTCTTCACCTTTGTCAACTTCCCTATGTGCCGAGAAGAACTTTAAACCACAACAAGGGAGAAAGACTGAAATTCTTCTGATTACATATGCTGTAAATGACAGGAGGCATTTCACATTTCTACCGTCTTCCCATCAGTAATTTGAGTGTCGTTCCTGCTTCATCAGCTAACAAGCACTTTTACCTGTATGGAAGGAAAGCATACCTTTCTTATAACATGCTAGCTCGAGGCAACCAAAGCATTTTCCTCCTCTTTGGATATTGCTGCTCAGTCATAAAGCTGTGTGGATCTTATGCAGAACTTTAAAATGACCCATTTCTGGGACATTCTGTTGTGGTTTTCATTCTCCTTTTGCAGACAATCCACCACCACCACCAAGGTTAGCAAGAGGACGGGCGAAAAATCTTTATAGTTATTTTGGTTTTGACATTTACTTTCCATGGAAGAATAAGAGGCAAGTTCAGAACTTTTCTTGACTCAGTCAAAATATCTCAGCTACAGGACCAGAAAGTCCAAGGCACATATCATGGCATGCACTGTTGAGGACATCATTTCCCCTTTCAAGTGCTCTGCTTATAGAAGAACTGCACTGACAGTTTTTGATGGCAGTGTTGAATATTTATCACTCTTTTCAACGAACATGAACAGTGTAGCAGAGAAAGAAGAGGAAATGGTTGTATGTTGTATCACTTGTGATGATGCACACTAAAAGTGAGAGTATCTGCATATTGAAGAAGATAACTACATGCAGAAATTCATACTTGAAAAAATATGTTTTACCATTAATGAGGAATGCTGTATACATAAATATAAACTAACTTTTGTGGAATATTACACCACAAGAAAAACTGCATTGGCCCTTGTAAGCCCATTATGTAAATTTAGAAGAAACTAATCAAATAAAATATAACTGGGTGCTCAGTAACTATCAGTTGTTGTCATCAGCTGAGAATAGTGTCTGAACATAATCCAGAGTTTTCTGACAACAAAACCCACCCTGATAATGATTCGATTTCATTGGTGGCGGAAGAATCTTATTTCATCAGTCAAGAAGCTGGTGTATTCTTCTCATTTTTTATTTGTTCCCAGAAGCTTAATGAAGATGAGTGTCTGACAGTGAGCAGTGCAGATAAGAAACGCAAGTCTATCAAGAGAATATAGTCCTTGATTTGATTGCATGCAAGTTTTGAAGCATGATATGCTTCTTTTTAGCCCCCAGTTGGTATCCTTTCCACCAGCATAAATCTGATGTAAGGAATTACTTTGGATGTAATTGACAGCAGGATCTGGCCCAGAGTATTAAAAATAATGGGTAACATTCCACATTGTTGCAGTCATATGATTGCAAATCACTGAGAAAACATTTTGAATTGCTACTAAACTTTAAAAATATTGTAAAGCTGTATGTGAATGATCACATAAAGTTTCTAAAGAAGCACAGTTAACTTTATACATAGATTTTTTTAATTTTTTAATATTTATAAACCAAAATAAATCTATCAACTAACAGTTGATGCATTTTTAAATATATTAATGTTTTGCACTTAAGACTATATATTAAAAAATCCCATTATTGTTTCAAAGAGAACATACTATAAAATCTTAGCAAATAAGCACTAAATCTAAAAGTTCCTTATTTTGACATATATGACAAAGAATTCTGTTTAGCCAGCGCACATGCAGAATACTGTTTACACCAGGCAGTGTGTTTACAGTTAAGGCTATTTTAAAAATTATTTTGGTACAAATTAAGGATTGTATTCTGCTGTTGAATTTTTTTAGGAATTTGTTCCTTTCAGTGTAATCCTAAGGAAAAAAGAGCAACATATTTGTTATTTGCTTTACACTTTGTACAAATGTCAGTATTAGTATCCATTTAGGGTTTTTCACCTTAATTAAGCAGTTATGTAGTTACACTAGCCAGTCCTAAAGATGGCAACAAATACAGCATTATTAAAATGCTTTATTGAATGGGTAAGCATGACAGTAAATACATTTGATCTCAAGTGTGCTGGTGACCCCATTTCCAGGCATTCAAGACATTTGTGCTGCAGTGCAAAGCTGAAGAGATGAAATTCGTGTTCGTCTTTGAGTCTCCTGTTGCAGAAAGGCTGTGAAGACGCAGCACACTGCTGCACCACTGTAGAAGCTCCCTCTCTAGTCTTACTCCCTTCCCTGCTATCTTTCAGGAGGACCGTTTGCTGCTGCAAATCTTAAAGTGGCTTAGACATGAGGCTGAAAGGAGCAGAGAGAGAGGCTGAGTAAATGCTTTTTTCCCGTGTTCTGCTCTTGGGTGGGCTTGGAGAACTAGCTGTCTCTTTGTTCTTCTGTGCACAGTTCAGGCAGCTCAGATGTCTTCACTCTACAGAAGAGTAGTTCCCAAATATAGTTTTGAATGCCTAGTGATCAGCTGAGTTGACAGTGATGAGGGCATCAATGTTTACAGTGCCAGACCTAGGCAATTGTACTGTACCTTCATATTTCTGAGCCAGGCAACTTTAGAAGACATAGGGCGCTATTTTTTTCTGTAGTAAATATGCCTGAGTATGCATGAAATTGAGTTTGCTGATGCCATGAATCCTTCAGACATCATTTAGAATTATTCTGCCTAAATTGAATATCACCTGCTCCAGAAAACCAGTGTTCTGTTGGAGCAAGAGACAGTCTCAGAAGGTAACACTGACCTTAAATCACATGACCAGTCCTGTCATCTGTAGCCCTCCCTAAAACATAGACCCGCTTCAGGGCAATTTATATTTAATTCTAATGCTGCATTCCATGAGGTGGTCTCATGTGCAACTTCGGCTATGAGATGCTGTACTTATCATTATAAAAGACATTAGTAGGATTCTCCTCTGACATCACCACCTGACCAGGGATGTATTGTTTGCCAAAGAATTATTGGATGCTGTATGAGGGCCTTGATAACATGCATGAAGTAGTTTGAAGTGTCCCTACATAGTCGTTATCTGTATACTAAAATAAATAAAGATGGCAGTTATGGACCAAGCCATGCAGATAAAACTGAATGGCCTGAGAAAGATCTGATTGACAAATTGTTGTATGTCAGATAAACCCACATCAGAATGTATCAGTAATTCAGGATGCTATTGCCGAGTAATAGTGGACTAGTGCCTTTCACACATATAAAAAAACATTTGCGCACGTGATCAAGAAACCACTATAAATTTGTCCATTTTCCAATCAAGAAAAGGAGTGATTTGTGCTTGGCTCTGTGCAGTTAGTACAGTTCTATATTGCAGCTGTTGAGATTGTGTCTATAAAATCTTGTAGCCATTTTGTTTTACTAACCATGGCAAAAGTTAGCTGGCTCAGTTTGGAATGTATGTCACAATGTTGTGTAAGTTAGTGTTCAGCTCAAGAGTGAAAAGAAAGCTGGTGGATGTGAGAGCAAAAACTTACTCTGATCTGAGAATTGCCAGCATACTAACACTGAAAAGTAATACAAGTCAGAAAAAGTTATCCCATATCCAGCAAAGCTTAACTTTAGTAGAATTGGTTCCATGCTTAAAGCTAAGCTTATATCCAAGTGCCTTGCTGGATTATGTCCTAAGATGACAGCAGAGCTTGGTTTCTGGGTTTCCTATCATATTCAGATCTTTTCATATTTTATTGATTTTGTAGTCTAAAGATTTTTTCTTTCTCAAATTAAAAGGTTTGGCCAGAGTCTGTGGACTTCTGCTCTGCTGATACCACTTTGGATTTCCACTCTTGTAAATAAGAGAACTGGTTCCTTGTCTCAGACTTCAAAACTGTGCATCTACCCTGGTGTACAAGCAGGATCAAAACTGAATTAAACTGGCCAAGGAGAGATTTAGCAACAATTTTCCGCTGCAGTTCCACTGGAATAGCACAGTCCCACAGAGACCCACAAGGTGCAATCCTGTCTGTAGTGAGCTAGTGGGAGTGTTTCCACTGAGTTCAGCAGCGTTTGATTCCATTTATTTACCATAACAATTGTACTGCATTATAGAGTATTGCCCCAGTAAAGATTGCAGGCTCAGGAGCTACATGCCTAAATCTAAAAAGCTACAGTTATGGTTATGGTTATCTTAATGACTATTTGGTGATCTAAGGGCTGCTCTCTGGGCTGAAGTCTAGCCTAGAAGAACACCCTAAGTCTTCCCAACCGGTACAGCATAGTCAACTATCTTCCTCCTGGCTCAGTCATTGGCGTGCCAATTTTATTTTATTTTTATATGCTTGCTACAGCTGTAACAAACATATAATTAGTTTCTTGGTTTAGATTATATTTGTAAATCTTCTGTCAACGTGTAAACAAATGGAAAAGGTCTTTACTAGTCTACTACTTAGCAATTATAGAGAAGATTCTATTCTGTCTTTGATTTCCTTTGTGACTGTGCTTTAATTACACACACTTGTTTTCTATTACGTGTTTGCTCTAGTTGCACAAATCCCTCATGAGATTTGTTGTCTTCCTTTCTTGGATTTCTTGCAATTGTAATGCCATTTATTTGCATCCTACAGTTAGATGTTTTTGGTAGAGTGCTTTAAGCTGTGTAAATACTGTTTGATTATTCAGGCCAAGGAAAGATCAGACCTAATGTAATACGAAACAGACACTAAAATAACACTGATAGCCAGGTGAAACCAAAGAATCTTCTTAATTGATATGCATCACCTTTGAGCATAATACTCTGTCATTGCAAGCCTCAGATCTCTCAGTTATTTGTGTTTAAGCACTCAGAAGAAAATCTCTGCAGCTCATGCATTTACTGTACAATTTCCTTTCTATTTATTTGAATCTGAATTCCAGATTTTTCATTTTGTTGGGTGCTAAGGTTTATGATGGTTACACAGGTAAATGACAGCATTTAGTTCCAGCAGTTTTATACCAAACCCTTTATTATTCCCTTGAACTATTTTGAAAACTGTATGCAAGTGATCAGTGTTCTGCTGAAGAGAAGTTGTTCAACTGACATGTGCATTCCAGTTTCTGACCTACTGTGTATGTGTTTAAAAACCTCCTTTTAAATAACTTGGGCATACACTTTTCTCACATTTCCCCTTGTGTGGTGTCCTGATATTTTCTCCCCAGAGAAAGCTGTGAAAAAAACCCCACCAAACCTATACATCCCTGACCTGGAATGTGAGATACATGTAGCTCCTTCTCCACAGGCTGAGATGTGTAGTGATTGTGGCAATTTGTACATCACGTTGTTCTACTTGTTGCCATACTTCTGACATACAGTACACTGTCTGAAAGAAATGAATGATTATGGGAAACTAATTACATTTGCATATTTTCTTAAAAGGATTACCAGTTTGAATTTAATTGCATTTATTTTTCTTTTTTACTAGCACAAAGAATGAAAGCAATCATTGCCATCTTATCACTGAGGTTATCTTGGTAAACTTGAAAGACAAATATAAGGTTGATTCATAGCAATAGGGAATTGTGACAAAATCTAAAGGGGTATCAGAATATGTCAAAACCAGACAGGTATAATCTCTAGAAAGACTAATACAAACTCAGACGTTTCCTTTCAGATGGTTTTTAGAGGGTTTAGGCAAGATTATGGCTTTTTCATCTATCAGTTGTGTATGCAAAGAATGCTTGTAAATCTGCTTCTCTAGCAGCATCTATATTTCGAATGGCTGAAACTCTGCAGCAGAGTTATGACCAAATTCCTATCTTCACGTTCTTGGGAGTGGTGCCAGTGCTCATTGATGTCCTGGTAATTGGCATAAATTTATTTCAGTGGAACTGAGAGCAGAATTTGGCTCCCACTGTATCCTCCATTGAAAGAAAGTATTTGAAATTGTTTGTGATCACTGAAATAACTTCGGAACCTTTTAAAATTCCCCGTGTTTCATACTTGCAAGCATTTGCAGTGCACCCTTAGGAGGTGCAGTACATCTTTAAATATTATTAAAACTTTC